TATATATATATACTTATAGTCATGTTTTAATGCCCTTTGTTTCTCCATCACCTACTAGGATGCACATAATAGACGATATTAATTGAGTTGACCTAAACTGAAAATGAAAATGCTCATGTTTTATAGTATAGGCCAATTTCTTTTGTGGAAGATTCTAGGTAACATCTGAAGGAAAAGCATTTGCATCTTAAGGCAAGGAAAGCAAATTCCCTTGAATTGACCGCTAAATTGCATTTCTCTTTCCAGCCCCATACTTCACACTGGCCCAGCCACTCTAATGAAAACAAGCTAAGCAAGCCCATCTATCAGCCGGGCAGTGGGTGTGCACCAAAGGCAGATGAATCTTAGAGAGGCTTCAAGTGATGCGCAGTGATGGAGGAAATGACTGTCAAACCCGCAGCAGTAAGATTACTCAGCTAATGATTCAGAGGCTGCTCAATGCGACGTTTAAACTGTTATCCAGCCTTCTCACACGCTGTTGAGGCATGCGTGTGTAAACTCCTAATGTATGCTACAGAGCTACCGTGTCTCCTAGGTAGGATTCAAGGGGCAGAATCTGAATGTGTCTTTTGCCTCCTCACTTATCCCCCTTTTAGTTCTTGACCCAAGAACACCACACAGATTAAAGAAGCAAAGAGGCTGAAAATATGCCAGGTCTAACTGAGCCTTTGTACCTTCTTAGCACTTCTCTGACTCTAAAAGTCTTCCTTCATGAGAAAATAACACACTCGATTTTTTTTTTATTTTTTAGTAGGGAATAGTGTGTTTTTACAGGACCCATCAGCTCCAAGTCAGGTAATTGTTTCAATCTAGTTGTGGACGGCACAGCTCAGCGGCCCAAGTGGGGATTGAACCGGCAACCTTGGTGTTACAAGCACTGCGCTCTAACCAACTGAGCTAACAGGCCGCCCCCAACACATTAGATTTTTAATCATGGCAAGTTTTCCAAACACTTGAACTGTGATCATATAATAACCCCTTACAAACTTAATTAGGAAATGTGTCCTTTATTGCTATAAAAAATACCCGTGCTGGAGCCAACTCGTGCAGGCCTGTGTGAGCCGCGTGACACCCTCATTCCAAATACATTCATATCTTCAGGTTGGTAGCCTGAGATCAGCCGTGGTGGGGGTATTTACACCATGAAACTGGCAAGCTCTACACATCAGAATGTTGTATTTTTTCTCCTGGAAAAATTGTGCACCTTTACCCCTATCATTGTGGCTGATAGAAGAAAGGTGCACAATCTATTATTCCTTAAGGCAATCTAACAGTATATCTTGTTCAGCATGAACAACACTGCTAGAGGGTCCTAGCCCGAGAAGAGCCACCTCACAGCCTGGGCTCCGAAGTCCTGGATGAACTCATCTTTCCACCCTCTTCATTAGACCCTGGAGGCCAAACCACTGAACTGGTGGTTCCAAAAAAAATAAGGAAAATCTATCCTAACCTTGATGTTTCATATCAGGGGGTTATTAATCCTTAGGTGGCTACTTTAGAAATTGATGTGAATGGCTTTCAGTAAAAACATCACTACAGTAAAACCATATATATATTTTTTTAACGAGAAGTATAAGAAATAGAATAAAAGAAAGACACAGAGAATCTAAGCTAAGGAAAACCACCGAAGTTAAAAACACTTAACTCTGACATTCCTGGCAGGCAAAAGGTAAAGGGAAAACAGGAAAGAATATTTTATGTCTGAGATCTGGTCCTCAGAAAAAGCAACCTGTTTTCTTCTACGCTAACATACTCATACATTTTCCACATGAGGCATTAAGCACATGGTATCATCACACACAAACTATAGATGTTCAAATAATTATATAGTCATGTATATGTTGAAGACTTAATATACAAAATGAAAATCCTGTCCTGCTTTTATTTTTTTATTTTTATTTTTTTTTACTGTTAGCAGGCTAGCTTTAGACTAGCCTCAATTATCCCACTTGACTTGCAGCCTTTAGGAGCTCTGCTCTAGGGTTGATTAAAAAGAAGTTCTAGGAAGAGGAGAAAGACAAGTTGGGAGGGAAAAAAGGAAGGGAGGCTCCATCAAGGTCCTTAGAGGGATTGTGTCAACAGTTAGAAAGAAAAACAACCTGAAACTGAAATACTCTCAATGCAATCCAGTCTTCCAGCTCTGCCCTTTCTCAATTTATACAGGTCAGCACACAGAAAAGAGTACCGGTGAACATTTGTTTGCAAAGATGAAAGGGTCCTTAAAGAAGGAAGGCATTCATCGGACCGCAGAATAGAATCACTGATTCCTAGAGTTCGGCTGGACCTTAAGTGCAATGTCATGCAGCCTCCTGCTGAAGGAAGTCCTTTCACAATACCGCTTCCTGGTCATCACCCAGGCCTGAGAGATTTTTAGAGACAGGGAACTCCTGCTTTTGGGGGGCAGGGGGGAGTAGCCCTAACTGTCAGGCGTTGTGATCCTATAATGATCACAAATATACATTCTTGTTACTTATGCACAGTGGTTCTATTTCTGCCCTCTGGGTGACACCAATATTGTGTTTCTCATATGACAGCCCTTGAGGTATGAGACGGTAAATCCTGTTAACCTTTTCTTCCTCATGTTAAACATACCCACTTCCATTAGTCATTCAGTGATTTCCAAAGAGACTCTGGGGAGGAATTGAACAATGAATTCCAGAGGCATAATATTTACATATTTTTACTTATTGTACGATATGTACTGGAATCTTACAATTAGCCTAATATTTGAATTAATCGGTGGTAACTAGAGCTAGTTTATTTGACAACAGATTGTTAGAATTCCAGGTTATTTAAAATGTATCAAATTTTATTATATTATATTATAATTATATTAAACATAATAGCCTTACTTTGATATTTTGGGAAGTATAATGAGCTCCCAGGAAGCATCAGGGCCAGCATTATGGCTACATTTTTCATTGCAAAACAGCCATATGGAAGCGCTGATGAAGTGAATGTTCTGGCTAACAAAATAAACCTTTTTTTAGCAATAACTGAGGCTATTGGGTAGTTTTGTTTTGTTTTTCAGTTGAATTCTCTTCTACTACATCATTGACCCTAGTTCCATTTTTCTTTAACTTTAATCAACATTTATAAGATTTACCCAAACAAAATCCCATAGCATCAGGAAAGAGAACGGCGGAGGAATTTGCAACCAAGGAGCACAGAAAATCCTCACTCTCATTTTATCGCCCCTTCTTGTCACAATACCATTTATCAAGAAATTGTCTAAAAGTAAGGCAAAAAGGTAGAAAGTGTTGGAAAAGCATGACACCAAATAGAAAGAGATACAGTATAAAATAGGAGTGTTGATGACCCAAGTCACAATTTTTCTTTTTAGTCGACGTGGTAAGGCAATCGCTAGGTGTTATCATGTTATATTTACTTCCATTGTTTTATGTGGGTCCAGCAATAGAGTTGGGGGGAGAACATTTGAACAAAACCTTGATGTACTCCTGGGCTTTTAAAATACGTGGTTAGTTTATGTTCCCTTTCAATTTTTCAATCTTGGCTCTTCCCTTTGCCCATTCTCAGCACCTAAACAGACTTCCAGATATTCACACAACTACGAGAACAACTGCCCTTTGTCAGGAATTCCAGGTAAGCCTCTAACCCACAGAAAAACCCTTTGGCAACCCTGGGCCACTGCAGTGCTTTAAAAGAGCCTCATTTAATCAGGCTTGCAAACACCTCCCTTAACCACACAGGCCAACCACTGCTGCCAGCTCCAAGAGCAATCAAACTGACCTTCAGAGGAGAGATGTGAGACTGCAAGACGTATCCATGGACATTTTCTATTTGCGACAGGTTCTTTTCTGATACATGCACGAGTTCAGGGCCTCTTACTTCATGGGTTAGTCGAGGTAAGGAATGATCATGTGGAGCATCCTCATCTTGGTAGCGATACTTCTAGGAGAAAAGACAAGAAAGAAAAACAAGCATGAGTGTTTGCACAGGGTACAGTTCTGAATTTCATTTCTAACTTAATGTACAGGAGCCAGTGTGTACCTCTTGATGACTTCACCAAACATGCTTTGCTGTAGACTCTTATTTATTTACTTATTTATTTATTTTTTAATTGAGGAACAGCCATGGTCATTGGTTACACATTGCTTTTATGCTATAATGGCATAGTTGACTCTTTTAAGGAGAGCACAGCTTACAGTGGTCCATGCAGGGATCGAACTGGCAACCTTGGTGTTAGCAGCACCATGCTTTAACCCACTGAGCTAACTGGTCACCCCCCTGCTGCAGGCTCTTTTGGGGGGTCACCATAAACCAGGTCAAGTGCAAGTAAACCAACCATCAATATCGATGAACACTGATGGCTTGTTTTTGCCTGACAATGTACTATCTCTGTTTATAAGTGATAGAAGGGTTACAATGAACCGATCCCTTTTCTTTCCTCTTTCCTTTATCATCTTCCTTCTACATGCCTGTCACAGTAAGACCAGCCTCTTACAAAGGCCATCCTTTGAAACTTCCAAGCAGATCCAAGGAAGCTGGCATAGAAAGAAGAGGATCAAGACAAGGAATTCTCAGGGAGCAAAGCCCTGGCCCTGGGGTCAATCTTTATCTTTAGCCTTGACCTGGGCTTCTGATCTTTCTCTCTCTCTTTACTTCATTTATACTTGTATCAGCACTTTTCCTTTGGAGCTATCTTACTCTAATCTCATTGTTTCAAGGCTATTGGTCTACCTAGAAAAGGAAACAGAACATTCTCCTTGGGAAAATTCTCTGGGGCAGAGAGACCTAAGAAAGAGGCTGACAACTCCCGAATTGCATCAAGTTCTTTAAGAAAACTTACAGACAGAACTTACAGACAGACTTGGGCAGCAACAAGATAACAGGGATGGGGCTTGTTATATAGAAGCAAGTGGCCCCCAAATGGCACCAGGCTAACACAGGTGGCTTGTAGCTATATGGCACATGCATAAAAGCTGTTTAATCCAAAACAGTAAACAACTTAATGGGACCACTTATCTATACAAGAATATTCTTTTCAGCTGACACAGGCCCACCCCTCCTGGGGTTAACTTGTGGTCAGCTTGCTTCTTAAGATGGCTGCCACATGATGTCAGTCACATTCAGGACCAGCGATCACTTTACCTAACAATTCTACAAACCGTTCACAACCCAGCTAGTAAAATGTAGGTTAGCCTTGCTTTGCCTTTGTTCCCTGTGAATGGTACAAGTGTATTAGGAACAGGAGGACAAACATCGTTATAGCACCATCTCAAGCTTACCTGTGATGTTTGGCCTCATCCCACTACTCCATTATCACCAACAGCTATTTTTTTTCCTGTCAGGTTACTAACATGTCTTCTTACAAAAGCATGCCTATGTTTCTTTCATTTTGAGGGTGAAAAAATATAATTTTTTGGACATCAGCACTTAGTCTGACTCACAATCTGACAGTAACAAGAACAACTACCCAGGGCTGGCAATTCAATCTGTTGTCCACTCTTATTCATAAGTTGATTATCATTACTTGTATTTTTCAGAGAGGATTTCTCTGCTAAGGTTGCCATTTTCTAAGCATAATATTAGTTTCAAAACAAAAATTATAGCTAACGATATCTGGACTACAGTTTGCAAAAGACTCTCATCTATTTCATCCATTTTAATCCTTCTTACCCATGATGCTCCATTTTACTTATAAGAAAACTAACACACAAAGAGGCTAAGAAACTTGTCCAGTGTCACCTAACTAGTGGGCATCAGGGCTAGGACACTGTCAAGATAACTTAAATATTAATCCTTTCTACTACCATCAACCCCACCTCAAATCTCATGAGAAGATGAAACTCATGTCTGATAGTCAGCAGCTTGGTAGGAAACACTTTATTGAGAACACACCACACAATGAGGTTAGAACATTTCTGTGAACTGCAAAATACCACACTTCTGTTTTCTTAATCCTATGAATACTTTGGGAAGGCAATCTGCCTCAGAAACATGGATGGAGTTTAACATTCATTCTTGATCAGTTATGTGTCCACTTGGAGTGGAATAATGCCATCCATGTGCGCATTTCCATGTCTCTGGCCTTCAGCCCATCTCTCCCTCTCTTCAGTTCTATCTCAGGGAGGCACTACCATCTATGCAGTCACCCAAGCCAGAAAAGTAGGAGTCAGTCAGACTCCATCCTCTCTTTCACATCCCCCCACCATCTGCCAATTTAATAAATCACTGAGTCTGCCTAATTGATATCTTAAATAATTCTGGAGTCTACTCTGTCCTGATCCCCTACCACCACCCCTACCTAACCTGCCCACTAATCTACCTACATTCAGATTCTCTTCGGCTCTCAGCCGGGCCACAGCAATAGCCTTTGGACTGGCTGGCTGCCACTGAGGTTGCCCCTTTCCCACCATCCTCCACACCAGCGGTTCTCAACCTTCCTAATGCCATGACCCCTTAATACAGTTCCTCATGTTGTGGTGACCCCCAACCATAAAATTATTTTCGTTGCTACTCTATAACTGTAATTTTGCTACTGTTATGAATCATAATGTAAACATATTTTTGTTTTCCGATGGTCTTAGGCAACCCCTGTGAAAGGGTCATTCGACCCCCAAGGGGTCGCGACCCACAGGTTGAGAACCGCTGCTCTACACTGGGCCTGGGAGTCTTTCTGAATCACAAACTGACAAAGTCATTGTCTGTAAACCAGCGAGTGGCTCCTACTGCCCACAAAGCAGAGCTCAAGCTCCCTTACTCTGCCGTAAGCCACCTCCCAACACCACTACAGGAGCTGAGCCCCCATTACTTCTGAACTCTTTTATCTCACCACGCCCACCTCCCTCGGGACTGTTGAATAAATATAAACAAATCACTACTTGAATGTTTTAAAGCTTTTAAAAATATTGTGGTAGCATACACATATCAAATTTACCATCATCACTATTTTAAGTGTACAGTTCAGGAATATTAAGTATGTTCATATTGGTATGTAACCAATCTCTAGAAGTTTTTTATCTTGAAAAACTGCAACTCTATACCCATTAAACAAACACTTCCCATTTTCCCCTCCTACAACCCTTGGTAGCCACCATTATACTTTCTATTTCTATGAATTTGACTACTTATATCAGTGGAATCATAAGTCTTGTCTTTTGATCGATGGCTTAATTCACTTAACAATGTCCTTGTGCTTCATCCATGTTGTAGCACATGTTAGAATGTTCTTCTTTTTAAAGGCTAAATAATATTCAATTGCATGTATATACCACATTTTGTTTATTCATTCATTTGTAGATGGGCAGTTTGGTTGCTTCTACCTCTTGGCTATTGTGAAAAATGCTTCTGTGAACATGGCTGTACAAATATCCTTTCAGAACTCTGCTTTCAATTCTTTTGGATGCATACCCAGAAGTGGAATTGCTGGATCAGATGGCAATTCAATTTTTAGTTTTTTGAGGAACCTTTTAAGTTTTTTAAAATTTAACATATGTACGAGTAAAGTCATATTCATGTTACTCCTAAGAGTCTGAAACATAAAGATCCAAGAACACCAAACTAAAATTTTGCAAAGTTAAAATATTCCTGGGGCTCCTCAAGGATTTCTACAGTACGATTCAGCTGGTTTAGAGAAAGATCTCATCCATAAAAATATACACCTGGCTCACTTACTTCGATCAATAACTATCAGAACGCAGATAATAAACTTAGATGAACGTGTGTGGTATCACAAAGAGCTTATTTTAAATTAATTATTTTCATAAATTTGAGACCCATTTCAAAGACTGATAAGTCCCAAAATTAGACTGTAAAACCCATCAGTTAATACCTTATTAGTAAAAGTTGTTGATTTTGACATTCATTGATCCTTTTAGGCCTCGACTTTCATATCCATTTTCTGGGAAGCTTTCATGAACTGCAAGTCTGAGATTTTGTGTTCCCATAGCTCCCTATACTCCCCCAAGCATGATTTTTAGCATGCTATGTAGTTGTGTATTTTATAAATGTTTGGTTTTACATTAAACTACAGGATTTTGTGAGGACTGGGATCATTCAGGCCTTTTTTATCCTCATATCTCTAGTCCTTAGCCAAATGCCTAGCACATATGTTCAATAAGTATTTGTTGAATAGAGTTATAAATGACAGCTGAACAAATGAAGAAATGGGTATCAGTTGCTTAAGCTACAAAGGTATATTGGCTGCTAAATACAATCTGTTTCATTGCAAAACATTAGGGACTCAGGTTCAAGCAAAAAAAGTCAACTATATCATTTGCTTGATGCAAACTTAAAGAACACTAGATCCTTAAATAGTATATATCTCTCTCCTCATCATTCCTTTCCGTAATATATCCAAAGTCTAGAAACTAAATAAGAACCATTGTTTGACCTCAAGAAGACCATAAGTTATTAAGTGAGTTATACATATGTGCAGCTAAGTCGCAATACATAGTGATAATGATTATAAGTACAGACCGAGCTCTGTGGGAGCAGAAATGGGTCATCACTAACTCTACCTGGGGCTTCCCAAGTTGAAACAGGTTCTAGAATGATAATAAAAAGGTAAGAGGTATTCTGGACATGTGTAGAGGAGGTAAGTGATAAAAGGGAATGGTGTTTTAAGGGAACAGTAAGGTATTGAAATGGATTGTAGCAGATGCTATTGTTCCCTTACCCGAATCCATGGAAATCCCTTTCACACTCAAGGCCAACTTCTCGGGAAGCTTGCCCTTGGGGGAGTGAAGCCTCCTCACTTAGATGAGACTGGGAGTGATGCTGGAACTCGCAACTCCCGCACCGCAGAGTAAAACAAACCCTGTGGTGTAAATTACACTCCAGAGCATTTATGGGATCAACCTGAAGCTAGATTGCACCTCAACTTATATTTTTACACAGCTCCTTGGTGCTCACCTCCCTCCCTTAAGGGCTTTTCTTGGGAAGTGCCC